TTTGCCATCGGGATTGGGTTTTCGTCGCTTGGCAACGACGTTGGAAAACAAGACAATTCACTTCAAAAATTCGGCAACCAGGTTACCGTTTTTTTTTTTTTTCTCATTTTCTTGGCGGTAACCATACAATTGGTGGTCGAGTAGATCATGTTATGCGGGGTGGAGATTCCTCGCTCCGCGCAAGGGGGATGATCGCACCACATTGTGTTAAAATGGTCAAGCACCCTCGAGGCAATTACACAGTGCTTACAACTGTCTCTGGAAGTGAAAGCACCAGAAAGTAAATTAATTCATACGCAGCTGTCATCCGTACGCAAGGAAGTAAGCACAAGATGCCGAACACCCTTAGCAGGATGCAGCGCACCCTTCATGCGACTCGCCGAATATCTCACGGCGCTTCGCGCTTGGTGATGTGAGAGCCTGGTCCGGTGAGAACCCGGCGAGCTCCGTCCCGGCTATGTAGGGATACGAGGTCAACGGTCTAACGACTACGGCATGCACGACTATGAGTACACCCCCCCCCATTACCTGTTGGGCCTGGAAGCATGTTTTCTTTGATTTAGCCCCGGGGTAGATCGTTTTCGACCAAAAACAAAAAAACTCCGCCCGGGTAGGTATGTCAATTTCCCCCCGGGGTACCAGTTTTCCCACGAGTTCCCTCCGGGGAGGGGTGTATTTCTCTAATTTCTGAGTCGATTTTGTTGCATCGCGGACACAAAATGCATGACATGGGACGGGAAATTCATTTGCAGATCTGTGCTTCGAGCGAGATTTACGTGTACCGTTTGTCACTGGAAGGCGGGTCCTTCCTGTTCTTGGAATCACTTGCGGGAAGAGACAAACTCCCTCGGCTGCTGTCCTCCTTGCTGTCTTCTTTCTCTTCGCCTTCGTTGCTCTTACGTTCGTCCTCCCTCTGCTTGTTGAACGCTTGCTCGCAAACCTTATCCATCTCAGTTCGCCACTCTCTGCGTTGGTGTGTGGATCATTATTTTGCACAACCCCCGGGGGGGGCTTCCCCACGGTGGGGGAGGCTCTTCCACGGTGTAGCGTTGGAAAGATAGAAACCAACCCCCCCCGGTACGTCAGTTTCCCCCCGATGGGTTTGGTTTCAGAAAAAGAAAACGATCCCCTCCCCGGGGGGAAATCTCCGACTTTTACGGCATATTAATCTCGTTCTTATGAAACAAAAAAAAAACGAGCGTATTTCAGCGTCGCACCGAGGAACACCAGCACATATAACTGTCCCGGCGGAGACCAAAAGCTACCCTGACGGCTTTTCCCTCCGCATATCGCGAAGAGTTCCCTGAACCTCCCCCCGCGGCTTGGCTCTACGGCTCTGTTGAGTTTCATGACAAAACGAATGAACGGTCTTCGAAAGAAGGTACTGCAGGTTACTACAGGTACAAGGTGTGGAACGGAGGAGATATTCCGCGACAGTGGAAGGATGCAACCGTCAAGGTGCTGTACAAGAACGGTGACCGGTCCAACTGTAACAACTACAGGGGGATTTCGCTCCTATCTCACGTAGGCAAGGTTCCCATCAAAATCATCAACCGTCTAAGCGCCTTCTGCGAAGCCAACAACATCCTCCCGGAGGAACAGTGCGGATTTCGACCCGGGCGATCCACCGTCGAAATGCTGTTCGTCGTGCGCCGCCTCCAGGAGCTGGGGCGGAGAAAATAAATACCGCTCTACATGTGCTTCGTCCACCTGAACAAGGCGTATGATTCGGTGGACCGAGAGATGCTATGGAAGGTGCTGGCCAGGGCCGGGATTGCCG